ATATATATATATATATATATATGGTGTGAAAAAAAATCCTACCAAACCAATTCAAAAGTACTAAATCAAATTTCGAATCACTAATGGGGCCCGATTCACTGTTAAATTGTTAATTAATTGTGCTGTTTAGTGTTTTCTTTCTTTCTTAATTAATTAATTATCTATTGATGACCATTCAAAGAGCCGAAAGCATAATTCATTTCAAAATAGCATAGTAAACCCAAATTAAATTAAATATATATAAACATAATCCTAATTAAAAAAAAAAAAAAAAAAAAAGAGATGAACTAGTTAACAACAGGACAACCAGGAACCACAATCCCTTTAGCAGTAGGGCAAGAAGCAAGAGGGCAACCATCAACATTATTCCCCCACCAATCAATCCCGACATCTCTCGACTGCAGAGCGAAAAAGATCAACACCGTAACGAACGCTGTACCCGCATCCAACCCACCCGACAGTATATAGTTATACCTCTCCCACCACTCCGGCCTGTACCTATACACCACAAACCCGAACAAAAACGCCATTGTCAGCCAGCTCGTGAAGTTCACCGCCGAAGCTGGGGGCATCATGGCGGTGGCCCCCAGCAAAACCGGCAAGTGGATTAGTCCGATCCATCTCTGGTTCGGGAAAGCTTTCGATGCAAGCCACACCAGTATGGGGGCGATGGCCCCACCGAGGAAGAACCAGTTGACCGCCGGGTATATTCCTAGATTCCCGAAGATTCTCTGGGGCCCCACTAGGCCCCATATGACCGATGCGTCGTAGAAGACATGGTCCATCGGGCAGGTCCATGGGCTGCCCGGGGGCAGCAGTGACGTGTCGCAGAGGTGCGGGATTGAATCCATTAGCCACCATGCAGTTAGTGAGTATATGATCACCGATATAAAAGTTCCTACCAACTGCAAAAAACCGAAAAAAAGGAAGATATATAATACTCTGTTTTATGATTTTGCTAGCTTGATTTTTCTAAAATATACAATTTTTTGACTAAAATACCCTTGTCCACTAATT